GTGACTATGATATAGTGTTTGATATAAATACAGCCATTGTTCCCTGGAACTTTCACATTGAGTTCCCGCTGGATTGGCATGGATTCCCGCTGGATTGGTTCTAAATGACAGGGAACCCTGGTGGTTATCCAGTCTTTATAGACCCGCAGTTACACTATATGGCCAAAGGTTTGTAGACAACTGACCATCACACCCATATGTGGGCCTTCCCCAAACTGTTGCCACAAAGTTGGAAGCACAGAGTTGTATGGGATATTTGCCAGATGAAGAACACCCTCCAGGAGGTAGGGATGTCTGTGTCAAAATCAACAATCAAGAGAAGTGCTCACCAGAGTAAATACAGAGAGTTTATCACAAGATGTAAACCATTGATAAGCCTCAAAAACAGGAAGACCATATTGATTGACAAGTCAATCACCTGACCTGCATACAAGTGGATTTCATTTGTTGAAGGCAAAACTGAACACAAAGCACCCCAAGAACAAGAACTGAAGTCAGCTTCAGTAAAGGCCTGGCAGAGCAGCACCAGGGAAGAAACCCAGCATCTGGTGATGTCTATGGGTTCCAGACTTCAAGCTGTCATTGACTGCAAAGGATATGGAACCAAGTATTAAAGATGACCATTTAATTTATGATTATTTTAGTTTGTCCAATTACTTTTTGTCCCTTAAACAGGGGAGACCACATATTAAAGTGCTGTGATTCCTATAGTGTTCACCTGATATTTAATTTCAACTCCAATATACTGTAAACTGTAGACAGCAACACTAACTTTGTCAATGTCCAAATATTTATGGACCTGACTGTATGTAGCATTCTGTTTCACCCATCCTAACCACCAAGGACAGTGAGAATTACCTGGATAACCTATGCCACAATGTCATGAGGAACTGACATTTTGTATTCAGTGATGACCACCACAGGCCACTAGGAGAGGCAATATTAATCTTGTAGGTAGCAGCAGTGCATACATTGTGGAGCAGCATGCCTATGCAATGCCCATGAACAGCCAAGGGAGCTTGTGTTCTCTCTTCATGGTAGATGAACAGTTGATCTGATGATAATAATAACAATAATAATAATATAATAATAATAATAATAGTTTAATTTATGTAGCGTCTTTCTCATACTCAAGGTCACTTTACAAACAAAAAAAAAAAAAAATCTGATGGCTGAAGATAGTACCATTACTTGGTATAACAAGGAACACCCAGCAGGTTCCCCTTCATGGAATGCTGCAGTCCCTGTAGCAAGGCAAGTATTCTAGGAACACTGGATCCAGATCATGCAATGCACACCATTTATGGAACAGTTTCCACTTGAGAGCATACAAAGCCCATGTACTAGAGGCTCTTGTTTTCAGAACTGGCTCTTGGGCTCCGAGGGGACCAGACCCTCTGCCAAACAGCACCAAGTCCCCCTAAAGGTGTATGGCAGGCATTATTGATCATCACACCACCATGAATGGCTTCTCTCTAGGGTCCCATAGGAGCCTTGGATGGGACCTCCCTTGTGCTGGAGCCCCTTAAAGACCCTCCTTATGGGTCTATGTGTAATTTTGACTTGACGCAAGTGTCTTTGATGTTGGGGAGTTGCATGCTCTGGTGAGAAACTCCCCTTGCATGCCATGGTGGGCAGATGAATCTAGGGTGACCTGGTGGCTGAATCAGTCAAATCACCAGTGATAACCCCTCAGTTTTAAGCAGTTGAAAATTGTCAGCATAAATACCTGTAATGAGATTGATGTAGCATAGGTAGTGACAAAATGAATGCAGCCAATGACAGCATGAGAGGAAATCAGAAGGTAGGTTCTGTGCAAAAAATTAATTAATAATTTATTATTATTATTATTATTATTATTATTATTAACAACAACAACAACAACAATAATAATAATAATAATAATAATAATAATAATAATAATACATAATTGACATAGCCAAATATTAAGACTTGATATCAAAAAGTATAAACATGCACAGGCCACCTACATTTTGATGCAGACTTGACTAGCCATAGATATTACAGAAGAATGTTGCATAACCTGTGCAGTACAGAAATTTTGTGGGTTTAAAAGGCAGGTAATGTGCTTTTAGCCATAAGAAGGTAATGAACCTATATTGTTTTGCATAATACATTAAAGACAGCCAGTTGTAGTGCTGCACTCAAAAGAATGCCACCCATTCTTCGCTTTCTAAAAGAAATGGTCCTTGGAGTAATAATAATAATAATAATAATAATAATAATAATATTTCTGCATACACTACATTTTGCCTATTTTATAAGCAAAAGAGAGAATTGTGTCCACACACCTTACTTATGCAATCTGCAAAAGCAAGAAAGGGTCAAATAACATCCACTTAAAATGTGATGTATTACTCTGCAGTTAAAGCATGAAATTAGCATTTTTCATACTATACATGCTGAGGAACCTTTCTCACATTAGGTTTTTTTTTTTTGGCACAATAATATAGATGAACAAATCCTTTTAAAAAAAAAAAAAGTTAAACAGAATCTGGCTGTTGTATGTCCAGCCTTGAGTCACTGTAGGCCAGAGGCAGTTTCTAGGCAACCGTGTTTCAACCATGCCAGTGCCTCTAATATGACGTCTTCCATCAGCAGCTGAATTCTCTGCCCAGTTTTCCTTTTTTCTGAATATATTTTATGCCCCTCCCCTGTAAACTCACTCACCCACAGACTCCCACACACAGTGTACAGTTTTTTGGAATCAAATAATAAGTTATGTAAGGCAGATGAAATTTATATTTGGAAGAAGCAGAAGGTGAGAGGTGCTTTTAAAATGAACAAAAAAGATTTTTTTTCTTTTCGTTCACTTAATGATGTTGGTGGTACAGTGATTGCTTAGTGATTATGGTTCTGTGCTAGTGGGTAAATTTTGCAGGTTCAAATCTCAGGCCTGGTCCGAATACCCCTCTTTACATGCAGTGAGGTCTCCAGAGAGCCACTGTTAGATCCTTGTGCAAGGCTCTACATGCACTGGATTCTGCCTCAGTTTCAAGTAACTTAGAGAGAAGGCATATGCCAGATGGATAAATGTAAACTTGCTGAAATATTATAGACCTGAATAGCAAGCACATATAACTCCTATATAATTCAATTTTAAAGATCAACACATTCAACTGTTTAGATGCATCCATGCATTATCACTATCACCAGTTTTATCACAGCAAAGCACAACAGAACAACACAACCGTGTGCTGATTACTGAATGGAATTGAACTGTCAAGTCACAATACTGATGAATACTGTTGGACTGTAGTAATATTATTCTTTTTTGCAGGAACGACACGCTGACAGCCTCATTCAGAACCAGCAGTATCAGGTAATTTAACTGTTCACATTTAACTGTGCATCACAAAGCTACATTAAATTCTTTGGAGGCTGCTGTTTGTGTTAATGTGTGCAAACAGCTGACACCCAAATGAGCAAATAAACCAGGGAGAAACCTACAGAAGACCTAAATGATGGATGATGGATGCTGGATTCACTGCAGAGGAATTTTTGTAGCATGCAGAAATTATTGCATAGCTGCAAATTGGATGGCTCCACAGTGATCCAGGAAATGGGCATGTCACTGACTCAATATAAACTGGATTCCTTACATGCCTCATTACATCATGGGTTATCATGTTGGAACTGTCCTTCCACGTGTAGTTTAGTTTGGACAATAATTTTCTGATACACATTAGAGCTCCGGATGACCATTGAAGCATGTTTCAATGGCACAGTGCATCTGAACTACTGACCATTACACTGCCACAACAGCCTGTACTATTGGACTTATCTTAATGGCTAAACTTCAGATCCTTCAATCAGCGTGATGATAAAATGTAGCCAGACTGTTTGTTGGCATGGTTTTTGCCATTCTTCTCTGACCCCTCTGATCCATGATCACTAGTAAAGTTTTGTTTTTTGCAGTATTCCTAGTAAAGTCTGTTGTGAAACTGTTGTGTATAATAAGCCAAGGACAGTATCCATTATGGGAGATTATAGGACCAGTTCGCCAGGTTAAAAGAATGTCATATTCAAAGTGATTCCCGTGCTTAATTGAACACTGATTCTAGAAATAGCACAAAAAATCCAATATGTAATCCAGATTTAAATCTGTTAGTCAAAATAAAGTATGCATTATGACAGGACAGTGCATCTTAAAGGAAGAGGATAGTTAGTTGTTACAGCTTATGTAACAACTAACCTTTGTCCCTTTCCTGGTGCCAGCTTAACTGTGCAAAGCTGGAATCTTTCTGTTTCCGTATGTTGACTTGTCCTGACAATCTCACCCACACCCTTCATTCTCCTTTGCAAACTAGCATACTTGGTAGTTAGCAAAACAACAAATTATTTAGCAAGTCATTTTTGCAATAATGCCTTTTGACATCTTAAGGCTCATTAATCTTCATTAACTTAACTGAACTTGGACAGAAGTCATTGCAATCTGGTACAATTTCATTAAAAAATTGGATTTTACATAGCCAACTACTCCACCTTTACATTAGAGCTGACATAACTTTGTCCTGCTAAAAAAAAGTGTTAACACTCTGTCTAGTTATCAAAACTTCCAAATGGATAGCTAACAATTAGCTATCTAGCTAATTAGCAATATAACTTTACATGATTCAAAGCGACTATACAAAAATCTCCAAGAAATACTACTTTACAACTTCATGGTCACTATTGCCATAGGCAAGTGCATTCTGACTTAAAAAAAAAAAAAAAAAAAAGACAGAGGGGATAGTGAAATAAATAGGGAGATTGTTTACTAATACTATGACCCACAATGGCAAAGAATTTCAGCTAGTATATACTAGAGCTGTTGTTCTTCTTTTGGCTGCTCCTGTTAGGGATCACCACAGCAGATCATTGTTCCACATGATAAATTTTCCTCAGGTTTTATGCTAGATACCGTTCCTGATGCAACCCTCCCATTTTATCCAGGCTTAGGACCAGCACTGAGAAGACACACCCAGTGGCTGAGTTGGTTCCCTGCCTGGGAATCAAACCCCGGCTGTGGTGGTGAGAGTCCAGGAGTCTTAGCCACTAGACCACAGGGACATACACTGAGCAGCCATAACATTATGACCACCTGCCTAATATTGTGTTGGTCCCCCTTTTGCTGCCGAAACAGCCCTGACCCATCGAGGCATGGACTCCACTAGATCCCTGAAGGTGTGCTGTGGTATCTGGCACAAAGACGTTAACAGCAGATCCTTTAAGTCCTGTAAGTTGTGAGGTGGGGCCTCCGTGGATCGGACTTGATGGCCAGCACACCCCACAGATGTTCGATTGGATTGAGATCTGGGGAATTTGGAGACCAAGTCAACACCTTGAACTCCATTGTAGGCACTTTTGGCAGTGGACAGAGGTCAGCATGGGCACTCTGACCACTCTGCGGCTACACAGCCCCATACGCAGCAAGCTGCGATGCACTGTGTGTTCTGACACCTTTCTATCATAGCCAGCTTTAACTTTTCAGCAATTTGTGCTACAATAGCTCTTCTGTGGGATCAGACCAGACGGACTAGCCTTCACTCCCCTCGCGCATCAGTGAGCCTTGGGCGCCCATGACCCTGTCGCTAGCTCACCGGTTGTCCTTCCTTGGACCACTTTTGGTAGGTACTAACCACTGCATACTGGGAACACCCCACAAGGCCTGCTGTTTTAAAGACCCAGTCATCTAGCCATCACAATTTGGCCGTTGTCAAAGTCTCTCTAATCCTTATGCTTGCCCATTTTTCCTGTTTCCAACACATCAACTTCGAGAACCGACTGGTCACTTGCTGCCTAATATATCTCAACCCTTGACAGGTGCTATTGTAATGAGATAATCAATATTATTCACTTCACCTGTCAGTGGTCATAATGTTATGGCTGATCGCTGTATACCTTATAAAGGTATATGGATATAGCAGTAATATAATTATTAAAAATGAAACATATTTGAATACCTAATATTTTAATTTAGAGGGTTGTTGATGTGTCATACAGTTGACACAAACTCCAAGAACTACTGCCATGCATCCATACTGTGGCCAGTGAAAATGATATAAAAGCATTCTGAACCTCATTTATCATAAATTCTTTTCATACTGCCATCTTCGGCTAAAACTATGAGAGCTTTCATGTTTTCTGTGGTGGTTTCACTGTTGGAAGGAACTTACCAAAATCTTAAGGAACAGACTGCAATCTGATGTTGATGAGTTAAGATTAGATACCTATACATGAAGTGAAAGCTTACTCAACATAATCAGTTTGTTACATGAAACATAAGACTCATCCTCAAGCATTACACAACCATGACAATAACAGCACGTTGCAAAATTAAACAAGCAGATTAGGCAAGGTATTTATTGCAATATTCCTACTGCCCTATACAGTGTTTTGTGCATTAATACTGCATGGAAATTTGATCAAACATTAAGTAGACAATTTGCAAAAGGATAAAAACTGATCTTGAACCTGGACTGAGTTATACTCCTGCAGTGGATAATGTAAATGAACTCAACTGAACAGAGCCATCGATGTGTTGTACCTGTTGTAGAACTCTTTCTTGAACACTTTTCTCTCGTGCAATGGAGTTATAGATGACATCAAGCAAACACCTTTGATACTGTTAGTATTGGGTATCGTCGCTTATTCGCTTCATTCATGTCGGTTCCCACATGTGGACAAATAGGGTACCTCTACACTTGGGAGCACTGCAGATAGTCTAGTTGTCCCTAACCCAGTGTTTATTGGGATTTTTTAGGTAGTGTCACCTCTGACTTGTTCTTTATGCAAATGTATGCTAATATATTTTATATATTTGGTTCTAGATTTTCACCTCCAGCTAATGCACATTATAAACATGCTTCAAATTGTTATTCTCTTTCTCAATAAACTGGCAATACAATTCATATGAAAATTTGTACTCCTAAGAACCACCACCACAAAGGAAAACAGTCTCCTTTGCAGTCTAGAGACACAATACCCATGAGGAAAATACAGGGTGTCCAAAAAGTCAGGAACCAAAGAGAGTAAAACTACATATACTTAATTTTGTATTTACTATTTACAACATACATTCACCATCCACTTTATTAGGAGCACCTGTACACCTGCACATTCATGCAGTTATCTAATCAGCCAATGTGGCAGCAGCACAATGCAAAATCATGCATCATACATCAGAATGAAGAAAAAGTGTGATCTCTGTGACTTTGATCATGGCATGGGCAGATGGGCTGGTTTGAGTATTTCAAAAACTTCTCATTTGAGTATTTCAGATACTGAGATCAACAGTACCTGAAATACTCAAACCAGCCTGTCTGGCACCACAACCATGCCATGGATAAATTCACAGAGATCATATTTTTTCCTTATTCTGATGTTTGATGTGAACATTAACTGAAGCTCTTGACCTGTATTTGCATGGTTTTATGCATTGTGCTGCTGCCACATGATTGGCTGATTGGATAACTGCATAAATGAACAGGTGTTCCTATTAAAGTGACTGGTGAATGTATGCTCTACATGCTAAACCTTAGGTACTGTACGTTTTGTCAGCCACTGTATCATGCTTTTGCCAATGGTGCTCAACATATTCCCATTGGTTCCTGACTTTTCGGACACCCTGTACATCAGTATGTCAATGTTAATGCTTCTTTTTTTGTGGACACTTGTTTTAGGAAGTGATCAAAAATCTGGTGAAACGATATGTGGCAGCCATGATCCGCAGAACCAAAACTGATGAAGGGCTGACTGAGGAAAACTTCAAGGTGTGTCAGTTGTTTAATTCCTACAATTATAATGTACACAATATAAAGTCATTGGGTAAACATTATTGTACTGCACTTTAAGCTTAAAGGAGACATTTACATCTGAGGGATTGTGGCTGTTCTTTATACATTTACTAGTCATTGAGGTAAGATCTTGGCTATTCCTTTAGGTTTAGGAACTTGAACTTGTTTTCTACTGTATTATATAAAACTTCATTCTTAAAAATTATAGGTTTGAATATGGCCCACTTATGGGTACCCTTCATTTGGGCACCCTTCATTTGAAGGATAATAAAATCCAGCTTACTGGGCAGTAAGTCATGCACATATCTTCATTTCTCATGTTATTGTGTAGCGCTTTAGATGGAATGAGGGTAGAAATAAAATCCATTGGTAAATGCAATCCTCAGGCTTGGGAATGTGTGCTTATTCATATATAGAGTAAAGGAGCCTTGGTCCACAATTGTTCTCGCAGGCCCATAAACTGGATTCCATTTGATTACATTAGACAGACAAATATTTCCTGTAATTGAGTGCTGTAGTACATGTGGTTTGCTCTCCCTTTAATTTAATTTTTATCTCTCCTGTGGTCAATTAAGGAGCTCAAACAGGACATCTCAAGTTTCCGCTATGAGGTCCTGGACCTGCTGGGCAACCGCAAGCCGCCCCGCCGCACCTACTCCTCAAGCAGTGAGGCCACACAACCTGAGGCTGAGCAAGATGATGACGAGGAAGATACGGAGAAGAGGAACAGAGGAGCAAGGCCTGGAGGACAAGCACACTCAAGTTCCGTCTCATTTGCCCAAGCAGACAAGAGAAAGCGTGAGGGCCAATTTACCGTTTCAGCTCTTTTCCGCTCTATGGCAGGTCTGGAGGATGTGGATGATGGACCAAAAAGCAATGGCTTGAAGAAAAACAGGTGGTCCCCTTCATCATTTGTGAGGACAAGTGGCCGCTTGCGGCACTTCTCACGCTCAAAGAAAGACTCACTGCGCCGTCTGGGATCACTGTTTCGTCGTGTGAATGGACACGTTGCCGAATCACGCTTGAAGAGTCCCCAACAGCAACAAACCTACAGCATTTCTGATGGAGTTTTGCAACCACCAACATCCTGGCAGGACCCCCGAGCACAGCCAGAGAGCTGGCTGACAAGAAGCAGCATGCACCTGCACACGCTCGGAGGAGAATCTGGTGCAAGAGACAAGAATCAAATACAGTCAGTGTCCCAGCAGGCAAATGACACAGACAACCTCCTGCTAAGGCCCCCTGGCCTACACTGTGCTTCCAGCCTGACTGCCTCCAGTTCCCTCTTGCTCTCCTCCAGTGAGGATCTGTGTCAGGGCTTGCCAGGGCCCTGTGAGAGCCTTGACTCCTCCTATTGGGAACAGGAGGAGTCAATCACCACACAACTCTAAACTCTCGTTGGCTGTACAAAGAGTATGCTGCGATGAGCAAGACAGGCCTGCCATGACTGTATTCATATCAATACAGGCAATGGACAGCACTTGTACATATATTCGATTTGCTTTTATTACATCAACCTATAATTAGCAAATAAGTAGTCTTTAAATACTGTATTGAGAATGTTAATGATTCAGTTTCAGCAATATGGGAGTGCATTTGAATCAATGACTCCGCTAATGCAATGCTTTCTTTTTTTGTTACAAGTACACGCCAAATGTCACTTGCACATATACTTTTAACAGTTGCATATGGCTCTCAACACATCACTCATGCTATTTATTTAATAATGCTTCCTGGCTTCTAAGGTGTTTCAAGAAATGTGTATTTATGAGCTTGACAAAAACTATAAATTCAACAAGCTTAGCATTTAGAAAGTAGGAAGAGAAATCAGTTACAAGTCTGAGACAAAACATCTGGATCTCTTGATAATCTGGCAACATATTAGGCATTAGCAACATTGCTAACACTGCCAAAGTGCCCTTATACCATTTTTCCCTTAGTCTCTTCAGAAATATAGCACACTCCAAGTTCAGAGACTTTCATCTTACCTTATAGTCAAAGATTACCCATTTGTCACTATGCAGGAAAACAAGGGCAGATTAAACACAAAGCCTGAGGGGCAGAAGCCAAATTTCTGATTGTAGAGAGACACTGAACCCTACTGACATTTCATGCAAAATGCCACATTTGGAAATAAGCATCTGAACAATAACGACTTGTGCATGTACTTCTCGTTTAGAAGAGAAGTGAGCATGTCTGCTATGGATGAAAGTAGTTTGTCTCCAGTGAATGGCTCTAAAGTGCATCACATTTTAAGATCTGAGCTTTTGTAA